TCTATACGTTCAGTCCTCTGATTTTCTCTACGTTAATTAGCGCTGGAAGGGACAATGAATATAAGCACTTAAGGCTGAACCGCTGACTCCCAAGAATGATCTGTCTCTTTACTCTTTCTTGATTGATGACATGGTAAAATTCAGTTACAAAATTTGCATACGTATTCTTGATGAAAAAAGTGGTCTTTCCAGGTAGTAAGGTATCAATTCTCGACTTTAACAAGACAACACAACCAACTGCTGCTGCTATTCAGGTACTTTTATGTAAAGATTTGTCTGAAGGCAAAAGTTTTCTCTTGTGTGGCACACATTTCAAATTTAGTGAGTTTCTACTTCTGTTTGTATGTCCATTCTTCTGGACTTCCTCTATGCAAGGAATGGATGATAAACAACATTGTTGTCCCAGTGGCATCTGGTTATGGCCTTGCAGAGGATTATAAATATCTGTCCAAATCCATCAAAGAATTTTTTACAGGTACTCTATCTCTCTTGACAGGGCTGCTGCTGCTATTAGTTATTCTGTAAACAAAAGCCTCTTGCATTTATTTTTTAGTCTATAATTATGGATTTGGAATCATCCTTTAGTATCACCCAGTGACTAAATTTGTTTTTATACAGGAAAGGAATTGGAAGAACTTGCTTTAGAAGTAGGGTTTTCTACATCCATACATTATGAAATTAGTGGAGGTCTCATGGGAAATTTGGTGGCATCTCGTTAAATGGCATTCATATTTTGTCTTAGTTCAAAACTTTAGGACTAGACTACTTGTAAGAACATGGTATTTGGCTTCACGCTTTGATGCATTAAGTTCTTCTGTGACACTGGGCTGTTACTTGTAAGTTTAAGCAACAGAGAGCATAAAATTTCTGTAGATATCCCATATTTAAACAGTGTATGAGGTCCTTCTGGCCCCTTCCTAATGTTATTGAGTCGTCAGTATATGCATACATACATGAGGAATGTAATAAGTTCCGTAACAAAATCATTCAAATTCTAGTACGTTTGTTACTTTGGCACTGAAGACATTTTAACTCAACATATCCCAGATTGAAAGGCTAATGAGGATTTTGAATTATAAACTCTCGGTTGAATTCAGAGTATCTTTTACCACTCTGCCTAACTCTGGTAATAAACATTGAATTGAAGCTTAACTAAGTGGATGTATACATAATAGAGTTTGAGAAGCTAACCCAAAATCAAACCACGTGTAAAGTTCAACTCCTCTTCACCATATCTACAAATTCTGGTTTGTTTGAAAAGCATCGTGGTCGCATACCCTCTGGCCTCTGGTAAGTGTATGTGTATCCATTGTCTTCGTGGCTCAAGAGACTAACCATTTATGCGAGGAATGCAACCCACTTCCCGTTCTTGGGGGTGTGTAGGTTAGAAAGGTGGAAGGGTTCCTTAGTTAATGGTGGTCATCTGGGTTGAAAAGAACTATGGCTGACTGTGGCAGTTGAATAAGAGCCCTGTGTATTAGAATAATATCGTGAGTCCTTGCATGAGTCATCAAGTTCCATGGTCATCTCATCCATGAAGGGTGGTTTGGTGGGTGGAGGAAGGTGCTCTTCCTCCTCCATGGTCAGCATTCGTAGTACTTTCGACATTGTTGGTCGTAGAGATGAAATCTCCTGGATGCATAAGAGCCCTACGTGCACCACTCTCATTACCTCGTCCTTTACTTTCTTGTTGTAGTGATTCTGAAGATTGAGATTTGGGTCAAATAGCCTCTCAACCGTGCCTGCTTGGAAATGTCTCCACATCTATTTTACCATGTAGAAACACAAGGAAGGGAGATGTCATACTGTTGTTTGTAGGATTTGGCATTCAAGGAAAAATATGAGAAGGTTTCATAGAACTTACAGCAGTGACCAGACTTTCAAGGTTTCCTGAGACTTGAATGCCATTATATTGAACCCCAGCAACAATTTCTAACAAAAGCACGCCGAAACTATAGACATCAGCCTTTTCGGTTAATTGACCATAAGCTAGATACTCTGGAGCCATATATCCTCTGTAGGTACGAAAGGAAGAGAATGGGAATGTTAATGGCACTGCAAATCTTCCTTCAGATTTCAGCTATTTGAAAGATATATTCAATTTAACTGGAAGGAATCCTGTTCATAAAATTGATACTCTGTATAGAAAACGTACAGGGTTCCTGCAATGGCGGTGCTAATATGACTCTTGTTTTCTTGGAAAGACCTTGCTAGTCCAAAATCTGCTATTTTTGCTTGGAGCTTTAGATCGAGCAAGATATTACTGGCCTTTATATCTCTGTGTATGATCTTGATCTTTGGATTTTCATGTAGATATATTAAACCTTCAACTGTTCCGATGATGATGTTATATCTCTTATCCCAATCAAGAGCTTTACTGTTACTGGTATCTGTGTAAATTTTTGATCAAGTTAAGGGGAGATTTATGAATTGCCGAAATCAATGTATTTCAGTAAGAGCTGCAGTATTTACCGAAGATGAAGCGATCGAGACTCTTGTTAGGTAGGAATTCGTAAACAAGTAGGCTTTCAGGTCCAGAACAACTGCATCCTAGCAACCTCACCAGATTTTTATGTTCGACACTGCTGATCATGTTTACTTCATTGTAGAAATCTGCTGCTCGATGCCTGTTATTGAAGAAGAATCTCTTGACAGCAATCTCTCTTCCGTCAGGTAGAGCTCCCTGTGATGCATCAGAATGAATCAAATGATGAGTTTTTAGTCATAACTGGAGATGGTGTTGGTCCTGCGTAGATGGAGAGGCAGAAGAAGTACCTTATAAACAGTGCCAAACCCCCCTTGTCCAATCTTGTTATCAAGGCTGAAATTGTTGGTAGCTTTTTCAAGGGTTGAGTACTTGAAGTTCAAGTTACTATCTTGAAGAGTTTTTGCCAACTTCTTCACATCAGTTGAACCTCCTAAAGTGTAAATCATATGGATTAAAGAAAAGGATGTCAATTAATCTTCCCAAAGAGTTCACCACCAGGAAACTTAGCAGACTTTATATTTTACCTTTTCTTTTCTTTTGTACGTATCTATGCTTCCAGATAAAAGCACCAATCGCCACTCCGATTATCAAAACGACAACAGAACTCAAGATTGAAACAATCAATAAGGTTCGAGTTCCACCTGCAGAGAAATCATGGGTGCAATCAGAGTCAGACGTTGGGGGGTTGAAAAGTTGGTGGGTGGGGATACTTGAATTTAGGAACTGCTTTACCCCTGGAACTATTTTTGATGTCCTTATTGAGGAAGTCTGTGTTCGAGTATCTCATGAAGCAGCCTGTGTTTAATGCTCGCCCTTCCGAGCGAGGTAAACATCGTAACATTGAAGCAGAAGCATTTTGCAAGCATACGGTGCAAGAGCTGCTGTTTAAACTTCTCCAGCACTGACCCAGCGCATAAGCCGTGGACATGGACTCGTTTGCCATCCCGGCCACAGCCACAGCCACTCGAGCTTTTGCAAAGCCTCGTTTGCCCGGTGCAGTGCTGACCACTTGCATCACCGCCTCCCTGGCCGCTTGGTCATACCTGGGGTCCTTTTGGGTCAAGTTCCCGCAAACTGCAGCATCTTCGGGGCCTTTATACTCGTCAAAAAAGGTATAGTTTTCAAACCTCAGGAAGCAGCCATCGATGAATGCTCGGCCGCCGTTGAAAGGGAAGCATTGAGGAAGCACTGTGCGTGCTTGAGAATGACACAGCACACATTCGTGGGACGAGAGATCTTCATGGCATTGGGCGAGCCCATAGCTGGCATCAGGTCCTGTTCCCGTACCAGCCGTCCCAAATCCCGAAGTTCCGATTTGCTGTCGTACTTTTTCCATGGACCCAAAAAAATTTGGGACGTAGGCTGTGGTATTGTGCTCGAGTTCCTTCCCGCAAATCACTCTGACAGTTTGATCTCTTGGCTTTCCCATAGTCGAAGTTGCGAGCATGAGAAGAATAGCGAGAGCTGAGAATAGAACATATTTGGAAGCATAAACAAGGTGGATCCCCATTGAATCTGGGGTTGCGGTGCTGGAGCTCTCTCTCTTCTCTGGCTGATTCTGACTGAAAAAGGAGGCAGCCGAAGAAGAGAATCAAAGGCCAAGGGGAAGGCGTCGATTGGATGACAGTTTCTGCAAAAGGAGCTACCAAATACCAATACGAAACATAGGAGTTAAAAGATCTGTGTTGAAATTGGGGACAGATGTAATGGGAGTGGATGATACTAATTGACAACAAGTCAAAGTCGGGGAAAGAGGAGAAGGTGAAGAAGGCGAAGGAGAAAGCGACTGTCGCATTGCATAACATTTGTTTGCGTTTTAGAAATGACATAGTCGCTGACCGTAAGAAACAAAGCCCTCTCTGCCTCTGCCCTCCTCAGCTTCAGTCAGCGGTTGAAAATTCAACGAAGGCGGCTCCCTCTGTTTCTTTTCTTGCAAGCAATTCTTTTGTTATTAAATGGTAACCAAAAATAAATAAAACACAACTCATCCTGCCTTTCTCTCGCTCCTTACTATGAAAATTTTCATCTTTCACGACATTACATTGTCACCAACATGATTCAAAATAGTCATTGCGTGAAATTCGGTCGAAAAATAAATAAATGTTCGAACTCTAACTTCTACTCTCTCTCCTTTTTTTTTTTTTTTGGAAGGGGGAAGGGGCTACAACAGCCCAGAAACAAAGGATACCACTCTCGACTTTAAAAACTATTTTTATTGATCATACTTTTTTATATGAATAATGACCGAATTTATATATGAGATGTTGTATATAATCAGAGAACAACTAATCAAAATCATTTGATGAAGACATGAATCATTTTAAGAAATAAAATATTAATTTGTGATGTGTATATATTTCAAAAAAGGAGAGAAAAAAAAAATTTGTGATGATATTGATATTGTTTCCCCATTGTGTGGGACACTTGGCAGTCAAAACGGGCAAAAAGTTGAAACCAAAATTCTCTGGATGTTCTAGAAAAAGAGAACCGGAGAAACGAAAACCTAACGCAATTGACAAGGCCATTACTTTCTTCCTTTTTTTCAACATTGGACGACTCGGGATTTCCATCACCCATGACCTTAAGCTGATTATACGAGTGCGAGAAAAAAAATTACATTTTTGTAAGCTTATATTTGCAGAGCAGGTGTATGTTGTATTTATAAAAGAGGTAGGTAGTTTTTTTCCACAAGGAAAAGAGACATAAATAAGAATATTTATTCTAAGATTTGGGAAAATTTTGACGAATTTCCATACTAGCCGTTGTGAAAGGGAGACGGAGAGTAGTATTAGTATCGTAATTTGTAGGCTGTAGGAGAGAGTTAGCAAACACAACACGTTTTGGTTTATTGTAATAAGCACTTTATATTATTGTACAGAACAGAGCTGGTTGGCACAATGTTTGCGGTGCGAAGAGTAGCTTCTCCTTCACCATATCTACAAAATTGTTGATGAGGTGAACCCACACCCTAATCTTATACTTGTACAGCCGCTTTCATTTCCAGTTTGTCAAAGAGGAAGAGGATTAGGATTAGGATTACCTGGGATGGAATGAACTGTGGGTGAGAGTGGCAGCTGAGGAAGAAGCTTCCGTGACGTTGAGGTATGATGGGTCGTCGCCGTCGGTGGTGTCGTTGAGTTCCATTGTCCTCTCGTCCATGAAGGGCGGATTGGTGGGCGCTGGAAGTTGCTCTTCCTTCCTCGTCAGCATCTGCAGTACCCTACGCATGGTGGGCCGCAGAGATGCAATCTCCTGTGTGCACAGAAGCCCTATCTGCACCACTCTCCCTATCTCCTCTTTCACTTTTACTACGCTACCGTCTTCCTCCACCTCCGCCACAAGGTTCGGATCGTATATCCTCTCCAATGTTCCACATTGAAAATGCTTCCATGCCTGTTTGTGTTTGTGTTTGTGTTTGTTTCCCCCACGTCAAATTCCATTCTTCAACTTTAATTCAACAAATCAAACTCAACAACAACTTACAATTATCACTATGCTTTCCAAGTAGTCCGAGGTTTTGCTCCTACTGTTTTGCATCCCTGTGATGGTCTCCAGTAAAACAACTCCAAAACTGTACACATCCGCCTTGTCTGTTAGCTGGCCGTGAGCCAAGTACTCTGGCGCCATGTATCCCCTGTGGATTCACAAACACAACAATTAATGTTACTTACTTTTCAGTCATTTGTCTAACTCACCCAAAAACGAACAATCACGCACAAGGTCCCGGCAATGGCAGTGCTGATGTGACTCTCATCCTCTTCGAAGGATCTAGCCAATCCAAAATCAGCAATTTTAGCTCGTAGTTTGGAATCTAGCAGGATGTTACTAGCCTTGATGTCTCTGTGAATGATCTTGGTTTTCGAGTTTTCATGCAGGTAAGCCAGGCCTTCAACTGTTCCCACGATTATATCAAATCTCTTCTCCCAATTCAGTGATTTACCCTTTTCACGATCTGTATAGTTTTCGAGACTAATCAGAAGACATGTCTATATAAATGGATCAAATCGGTGAGTGAATTGTAGTTTTGAAATAAACATGCCAACATTTTACCAAAAATGAAGCGGTCGAGACTCTTGTTGGGAAGGAACTCATAGACGAGCAGACTTTCAGGCCCAGAGCAACTACAACCAAGCAACCTTACTAAATTTTTGTGCTCCACACTGCTAATTATGTTCACTTCATTGTAGAAGTCTGCTGCTCTATGTTTGTTATTGAAGAAAAGCCTCTTCACAGCTATCTCTCTTCCGTCCGACAGAACTCCCTACATCAATCAATATATATAGAAGAACAACAGATGGTAAAACTTTCATCTTTGTTAATTGATGAGTAATATTAATTGCTTGTTTTGAAGCAAAGAAATGAAGACTTGCCTTATAAACTGTGCCAAATCCTCCCTGTCCAAGCTTGTTAGCCTCAGCGAAGGACCCTGTTGCCTTTTCAAGGGTAGAGTATTTGAAGTTCAAGCTACTATTGTTTAGCGTTTTCACCATCTTGTTTGCATCATTTGAACCTTTCAATATATATATATATATATGGCAATCACGTTAGCATAGCATCATATAGCTACAGATTTCAATGAAGACGTAATGTACAAGTTCTGTTTTCTTCTGATTTTCAAGTTCTCGTAAAACATTTTCAAGCAGTAGTATTTTTTTTTACCTTTTCGTTTCTTCTTTATGTATCTGTTTTTCCAGATATAGACTCCGATCCCCACTCCAACGAGCAAAACAGCAACAGAGCTTACCAGTGAGACTACAATTGCTGTAACGAAACCTCTTGACCTTGCAGCCTCGGCCTCAGCCTCCGCATTTAGAAAGTCAATGTTAGAGTATCTCATGAAGCAACCAGTGTTCAAGGCTCGTGCTTCGGATTGAGGCAAGCATTTCAAGATTGAAGCAGAGGCCTTACGCAAACAGGAAGCGCAGGAGCTGCTATTCAAATTCCTCCAGCACTGAGCCAACAGGTAAACCGATGCATTGGTGGTTCCAGGCGGAGCCACTTCAACTCTGGCGTACCCTCTGTTGTTGGGTGCGACATCAACTGCTCGGGCCACAGCCTGCCTGGCCGACTGCTCGAAAATGGAGTTACCCGTGGAGCTGTTTCCGCACACAGCCCTGTCCTGAGGACCCTCAAATTCCTCATAAAAGCTGTAGTTTTCGGCCCTCATGAAGCAGCCATCCAGGAAAATTCGGCCACCGTTGTAAGGGAAGCATTGGGGGAGCACGGTACGGGCCTCCGCGTAACATAACACGCAATCCATCAGCGACAAATCTCCATAGCACTGAGCGAGCCCATAGTTGGCGTCCGGCCCTTTCCCCACAAGTGCTACTCCAAACCCATCATTTCGCATTTGGTCACTAATTCTCTGCATTGTGGCCACGAAATTGGGCACAAAAGCCGTAGTATTATGCTCTAACACGGTCGAACAAAGTATCTTCACCGTTCGGGATCTGGGGTCTGCCTCTGTCGGCATCTCCACTAACAGTAACACAAGAGCGCTCATCAAAATCAAGAACCCATATTCCGAAACAAGTCGCGATCCAGTCTTCATCCTTCCTTTTCTGTCTTTCCTTCCGATTCGGAGGCTCTCGAAGCTCGAACAATCTAATTTAGTGGGGAGTGGGAACAACTACCCATCTGCAACAATCAAACACAACACACACGTCAATTCTTACTGCAGGAGGAAGGACTAGGCGTCAGGCGACTAGGGGAGAAAATACAGAGCGATTCAGTTGTCGCTAAGCCACCATTAACGCACCCCATTAAGTTCATATCCATGTCCGATTTTGTTAGGTAGATCTATGGGTTCAAAATTTCATTTCAAAGAAGAAGTGATGCTATGCGTATGTGGGTAGTTGAGTTTCAACTTTGAAAGTTTAATACAAAAGTCAAAAGGATTGCTTTGGATTTGGGGCCATGTGCTCGTCTAGTTAGCCGGTGGAGCAATGAGCCGCAACTTGCAAGTTGTAATTTGGCATTTTACTCATAATTCTCCCATTTCACACCTCAAGAGTTGACGAACATAATATATCCAAACTCAACAAAGGGAAAAGAAAAAGAAAACACACACACAAAATTTGTCCGATCCGTTTGATTATATGATAATCTGTTCAAAAAATTCAGACCGAGTCAAAGACGCCACGTTGGACGAAAACGGAACGTCAGATCTCAATTCTCAACTATCAGCAATAAACACAAGCTCTCGGAATGTCACAAAGAAGGTAGAAATTTTATGGTTCTTTTTCTTGAGATAAAGTAGATCTTTGATGTCGCTGTCACATTTATGTGTATTCTTTATTTTTAAAGCTAGTCTCAATTTTATCTATATATTTATGTTTCTAATTCTCACCAATAATTTAATCACAAGGTGAAAATAAATATATTTGAGGATAAATTAGCAATTAAATGGTCCCTATATTTATGCATTCTTATTCTCAAGCGTAAAGCTTGTATTTTTTTTTTTTTTTTAAATTTTTCTACAAATAGATGTTAAAATTGACCAAAGCGAGCATAGCTCAGGAATTAAGTGATTCAAGTCGTGGTTGAATTAAAGGTCAAGAAGAATAATAAAGCTAAACAAAAAAAGAAGAGAACTGTGAACGAAGTGATGTGTTCAAAGAGGGACAGATCAAAAAGGGAAGCAAATGCGCAAGATATGTTTCCATTTTCAAGTGGTGGAATCTTTTCTTGCGGATTGTGATGGCCTCCCCCATTCTAAGATAATTACATTATTTTTCTTAAACTACATTATTGTATCTTCAATCATGCTCAATTACCATATTCAACCACTAACTATAGGTGGAACCTAATTAAAATAGATTAGTATTACTTCCTTAACTTGCATTAAATCTTCGATCTGTAACAATGTGTCTCCATGGAATATAACATTACACTGTTAATCCACCTCATTATTGAGTGTTGTTGTCCATTGCATAGCCAGATAGGATAACTTAACAATGGAGTCATAAATAAACTCTAACACGTTCGAGTAGAAGATAAAATTTGTGTTGGTCTTCTATGCGATCACTTACATGAAGCCACTTATAAAATATGATCTAAAATCCTATCATGGTGCTAGTCATAAAATTGCATTTAGTGATGCTTATATTTTAAGACATATATGGCGTATGTAAAAACAATGGGTACATGGATTAGCATAACCTTGGTAAACTCGTCGGGTGTTTTTTTAATTAATAAAATATGAAACTTCTTCAAGAAGTTAAAATCGTTTCCTTTATGCACACGATACACATGTTAAAATGTAAGCATTGCTAATAACGTTTAATATCATATTTTATTAAGCAGCATCGTCGTAAATGATCGAAGTAGACCAACATGATCTCATTTTTCATGTGGATGCCTTAAGGTTTAAGTATTGCTAAGCTATTCAATCATGCTACACTATAACCAAATAATGCCTCATGATCGCGTGGGCCTAACACCTATTGCCCGCATGTGAATATCCATGTGATCCGAATATGTCACGTGAGTCATCTTTTCTATAAGATATACCTAACGAAGATTGTTAATTGAGAGGTGGTTTAAACCTTTTTTGAAAACTGAGGGACGATCAAAACTGCACGGTTTGAAAATATATAAACCCCAAAGTGACCTATATATACTAAAACTTGGGAATCAAAGGGGTACTTTTTTCTATTATATTATTGTTTATTGTATATTTTCACTATGTAATCTAAATTAAACTTATCTTTAATCATTCATTAACACATCCATTTTTTTTTAGAAAGAAATAGACTTCATTAAATAATAAAAAAAAAGTCCCTTCTTCTTCTGAGAAAGAAGGCGCCACCTGATGTGCTACGCAATTGGCCTGTCGCCGAATGAAATTGATCGAAGCAACAGATTTCTTTCATCCACAACCTCTTCCTCCTTCAGCAAATGCACCACAACATCCATTGATGAAATACACTGTACACTAATAAATTGGAGGAGTTGCAAAGATAGGGAAGAGAATTTTGGCACAACAACATAAATTTATGAAAATAATAAAGGGCTACCAACTTGAACATGACCGGTTAATACATTAGAAAATATTTTTCAAAGATCAAAAAGTTTAATCTCACACTACTTGTTTGAATTTTTTTAATTAAAAAGAAGCCCATTTGTCAATTTTTCTTCTGAAGATCAAAAGAAAAGCGAGTGGTTCAATTTGGAAGAATCAAATAAAAAGAATTAATAATAGTTTATACCAAAACCGTATTTTTAATGAGTGAATTAGGTAGGTTTTTTTCCAACTCCATTTTCATAATGATGTATAGAAAAATCCATCGAAAGCTAAATCTCCTAATTTTATGTTAGATATCTAACAAACAAACAAAAAAAAAATCTATCTTTTATCTATTTAAGGGTAATTACAGTAGATAGCAAAAAAATATTTTATGTATTTCAAAAAATATCACCAACTTTTCAAAATTTCAAATATAGCAAAATATTTGAATTTTTATTTTTGGAATTTTTATTATTCCAATTTTACCCTTATGATATGTGATATATATCTATATCTGATACATCCAATGTATATCTATATCATATATACATCTAATTTACATATGATATACATATATCAAATTTATATATGATATACATCTAATGTAAATTTGTATATGATATACATCAAATCTATATCTAATATACATCCAATGTAACTTTGATATACTTTCGATATACATTCGATGTACCTCTAATATACAGTATCATATGTACTATGATACACATTATCAGATATACCATTGATATACATCAAATGTACGTATGATACATATAATATATATATATCTGATGTACTTCTAATTTATGATATACTAAATATATTTGAAACTGATATATTAAATATAAGGTATATCCAATATTTAATTTTTAGTGGTATATCAGTTGTTTAAATTATAGTTTATCATTTTAATTTGTTGATTAATATACTAACATTATCAATAAATATTGATTACTATATCACTACTATTTATTCAATATTAATATTAATTAGATACTAAATATAAGAGATATCAACTATTTAAATTTATAAAGTATATCAAAATTTTAACTTGTCTTTTTGGACGTGCATAGTCCACATAAACATTTTATATTTCAAAAATAAAAAATAAAAAATATTGCACCATTGTCTTCGTCTGAAAAAAAAATGTTAGATATAATAGTATGATATCAACACACATATATCATAGTTTTTTTTTTGAACAACATATATCATAGTTATATTAGTAGATATAATTGGTTATATCAGAGGTATATAAATGGTAAATTAGAAGCATATTAAGTATATATCAGTATTATATTAGTGGTAAATCATATAATCATATAAGAAGTTATATTAGTAGATACCATAATTATATAGTGGTATATCAATGGTAAATTAGAGACATATCAAATATATATCACATATATATGTATTGTATCAGCGTGGTAAATCAATGGTTATCATACGTATGTTAATGATAAGATATGTTAGAAGTTAAGTAGATATCATGGTTATACAATAAGTAAATCAATTGTATATCATTATTATATCAGTGGTATATCAGAGATGTATATAAGTGGTAAGATATATTACAGATGTATATCAGATATACTAAATGGTGAATTTGTAATTTTACAATTGGACGTTCTAAATGTGGTTACTATTTTACTTATTTTACTAAAATGTTTTGTCATATTTGTAAGTGATCCCTAATTTAATTTAATGAGGGGAAACAACACCGTCGGTAATTATGATAAAAAGAAAGAGAAGAATTATAATAAATGAAGATTTGTTTGATTTTGACACGGATAATTAATTTGTTTAGGAAAACAGAGAATACGCAAAAAGGGGGAAAGAAATAGTAGAGGGAGAGAGGAGAAAAGTTAGGGGAGCGGTTGGGATGAGAGAATAGATCATGCGCGACGCATGGTGTGCCCTGCAACTGAAATTGCAATTGCTACACTGACGGGGACGCCTCACGCCTCACGCCTCACAATAATCCGATTCTGCAGTTTTAAAAGGAAAACACCCCAATCCCGATTCAATGCCTCCTGGGTTCAGTATAGAATAATAATAATAATAATAATATTTTGTCCAATAATAATTAAAACCCATCTTTTCATTTTGTAGGAAGACCTCCCTGTGTCTTTGAATATTCCAATTCCAGGCGCAGAGGGAGAGGCCCTAAAGCAGAAGCAGAAGCAGCAGCAGGAGGGAAGCGATTGAAACTAGTCTATCAATTAAATTGAATAGAAATACAAACCAAAAGCAAAATATCTATCATAATGGCTTCTCAAGCTTGTTTGTTTTTTGTGGCACTACTAATGGCCGGTATGTGGTACGGCGGGCATGCACAGGGCCAGAGCCAGGAGCGCGAGCGCGAGCTTCTGGGTCTGAGTATCAATTTGAATCTGGGATTTGACATTTGCCGGAAGGCGGACTACCCAGCCATGTGTCGGTCCGTGGTGAAGGGGCTTAATAACCCGAGGGTTGCCTTCGAAGCTGCGGTTCGGCAATTGATGTTCCAGACCAGCCGGGCGAAGAGTGTGGCCCAGAGGAACAAAGACAAGTCGTCGGCCATGGAAGTGTGCTTCG